GTGGCTCAGTGGTAGAGCGCTTGCCTTGCATGCCTGAGGTCCTGGGTTCGATTCCTCAGCACCACATAAGCAAAAAGAATAAAAGCTGGAAGTGGCACTGTGGCTCAAGTGGTAGAGCGCTAGCCTTGAGCTGAAGAGCTGAGGGACAGCGCCCAGGCCCAGAGTTCAGGCCCCATGACCGGACCCAAAAAAAAAAAAAAAAAAGAAATGCACTCATCACCTGACTTATGAAACAATAACCCCTCTATTCATCACCTTTATAATAGCACTTTCTTAAAAAAAAAAAATCAAAAAGGGATTGAGAGGGCAGCAGTTCTAGGCCAGCCCAGACAAAAAGAATTCATGAGACTTCTATCTCAACCAGTAAGCAGGTGTGTTGGCGCACAGCTGTCATCCCAGCTACAGCAGGAGGTGTACATGAAAGAATCATGGTTCAGGTGGGTCTGTGCAGAATTTCAAAACTCTATCCAAAAAGTAACTGAAAATAGAAGGGGCTGAGGGTTTGTCTCAAGGGGTAGAGCACCTTCCTAGAGGTACAAGGCCCTGAATTCAAACCCCACTGTTGCCAAAGAAAAGGAAGAAAGAGTTGTCTTGGCTGTACATCAGTGGTTCACACCTGTAATCCTAGCTATTCAAGAGGCTGAGATCTGGAAGATCAAGGTTCAAAGCCAGCCCTGGCTGAAAAGTCTGAGAATTTCCAATTACACAACAAAGAGTCAGCTTGAAGAAGTGGCTCAAATGGTCAAGTATTAGCTTAGCAAGCCTGAGGACCAGAGTTCAAACCATGATACAGGAGAAGGGGAGGGGGAGGGAGAGGTCTAGAAGGCAGACTTTCTTAAAATCGATCTGGAAATCTGGAACACATGCTTATGATATCTTCATCCTTTGGAATTGTCAGAGTACAAATATCATGAGACATTTTCTTATTTTAACTCAATTTAAACACATGCATTTTAATGTTGAATGAATAGGAAAAGATACTACAAAGGTGAGTCTTGTATCTAGACTGTATGATCTTTGAGAGCCATCCAAACTTTTTCTGCAGAGTCTCATTCTAAACAGTGGAGTAGGGGTCAGAGGCGTGGCTCAGGTGGAAGGGTGCCTGCCAGTGAGTGAAATCATCAAATACTGAGTTTGTGTCCCACTCTCAGAAGGAAGGAAGGAAGGAAGGAAGGAAGGAAGGAAGGAAGGAAGAAAGAAAGAAAGAAAGAAAGGGAGGAAGGAAGAAAGGAAGAAAAAAGAAAGGAAGGAAGGAGGGAGGGAGGAAGGAGGGGAGGGAGGGAGGGAGGAAGATAGGGAAAGAGAGAAAGGAAAAAGAAAGAAGGAAAGAGAAAGAAAGAAAAAGAGAAAGGAAGGAAAGAAGGAGAGTTGGGTGCTGGTGGCTCATACCTGTAATCTTAGCTACTCAGAAGGCTGAGATCTGACAATCACAGTTCAAAGCCAGCCATGCAGGAAAGTCTGTGATGCTCTTATCTCTAATAACATACCAGAAAACCAAAGCATGAAGGGAAATACACCTCAGATATTACAACACAAGGCCCATGCACAACATAGGCCAAAAGCCCATCCACAAGAACAGGCTACAAAGCCCACTGACAGTTTATCTTCAACCTGCTACATAATATAGTAGAATGTTACACTGATGACTTACATCTTCCAAATACATTCAGGGAGCATCACTAGGTTCAATGAGTGATAGAGCTATAAACTGCTCTCCACATCACCTTACATATATGAAAAAATGCTAGGGCTTGAGGACCATCAAGGCAATAGCGGGTTCTTTGACTCAAACTTCCAAAGACTGCCCAAGACTCTGCTTCTCCTGGAACCTAAGAATTTAAGAGATTTTTCTACTTACTATCACTTCCTAGTGAACTGTGGTCTGTTTGAGGTGAACTATGAAATATAGAAATATATATATGAATGACATTATATTTATATATGTGAATGACTTTAGAAAATAATTGTAATTTAATTCAATTTCCAGGCAGATGAGAGAAAAATAAGAAGAGGTATTATACAGAGAAAAATGTTGGAAGTAAGCTAGACACCAGTGACTCACACCTGGAATCCTAGCTACTCAGGAGGCTGAGATCTGAGAAGCCAGCCAGCCTAGGCAGACAAACCCAAGAAACTCTCATTGCCAATTAACCAGCAAAAAGCTAAAAGTTGCACCAGCCTGAGCCAAACAGCCAAGCAAGAACACAGGGTGTGAGCCCCAGTACCAGCACATAAAAGAAAAAAAAACTGTAAGTAGCTTTCAATTCAAATGGACTTTCAAAGACTATTTTATCATAAAATATTGTAAAATAGATTCTATTATTTATTACAGTAGTCACTGAATCAAACCCACAAATAATAACAAAGAATAAATATTGGGAATGTTCTAAATGCCACTGAATTATACACTTAGAAGTGATTCCTTCTTACAAGTTGTCATGTCCAAAACGAGCTTTACAACGTCGGTGCGGGGGGGGGGGGGGGGAGGCAGGGAAGGGGGGGAAGGAGAAGGATTGGGATTGGGGGGAGGCTGGGAAGGGATGTGAAGGGTAAACCAAAGGAGGAGGCTGCAATGCTTGGTAAGAAATGTACGCATTATCCTGCCCATGTAATTGTAACCCCTCTGTACAGTACGTTCACAAATTAAATTAAATTAAATTAAAATAAAAAAAAGAAGTGATTCCTTCTGTAATATGAATTTTATCTCAGTAAGAATAAAAGAAGGAGAAAGTCACAAGTAAATATGTATATTGATGGTAGGTGCCAAAGAAACAATAGCATTTGCTAAGTAACAAAATTCTGAGGTTGTCTAACCAAAACATACTAACAATTTAAAAAGTCATATATTTGAGATTAATAGACAAGACTTGCTTCAAAAGATTAATGGAGAAAAAGAAGAACATGGAAGGTGGGAAACAGTTGAACAGTCTAGCTAAACAAAGTCAGCTCTAAACTAGTAAGTTTTTTTCTTGTTTTTTCTTTTCTTTTTTTTTAGTCCTGGGGATTGAACTCAGGGCTTAGGCGTCTGTCCCTGAGTTCTTTAGTGCTCTACAACTTGATTAACAGCTTTACTTCCTAAGCTAGTAATTTTTGAAGCTGGTGGTTTATTCCTTTCACTGTGGTACCTGTTTAAATAGTACAGACACAATGTGTAGCACTGAAGGCATGTAAGAAGTTTACAGTCAACCTATAGCCACCTACTCTTTGATAAGGGAGCTAAAAAAAAATAGAATGGAAGAAAGACAGCCTCTTCAGTAAATGGTACTGGCAAAATTGGTTAATCACTTGTAGAAAACTAAAGCTAGATCTTTATATATCACCCTGCACCAGAATCAATTCCAAATGGATCAAAGACCTCAGAGTCAAAGCAGACATCCTGAAAACATTACAGGATGGAATAGGAGAAACCATATGTCTCCTTGTCACAGGCCCAAATTTTCTTTTTTTTTTTCCAAATTTTCTTAATAGAGACCCAGAAACACAACAAATCAAAGAAAGGTTGGACAAATGGGATTGCATGAAATTGCAGAGCTTCTGCATGGCAAAGGACATAGCTAGCAAGATCAATAGAAAACCCACAGATTGGGAGAAGATCTTCACTAGCCATAAAACAGACAAGGGTCTCATATCTAAAATATACCTGGAACTCAAAAAATTAAATCCCCCAACAAAAAATCCTCAAAGAAACAACTGCCCAATAAATAAGTGGGCTAAAGACTTAAAGAGAAACTTCTCTGAAGAGGAAAGAAGGATGGCCAATAGACACATGAAGAAATACTCAACATCCCTAGCCATAAAAGAAATGCAAATCAAAACAACACTGAGATACCACCTCATCCCAGTTAGAATGGCTAAAATCAAGAACTCTAATAACAACAGATGCTGGAGGGGATGTGGACAGAAGGGAACCCTACTGCATTGTTGGTGGGAGTGTAAACTTGTTCAACCACTTTGGAAAGCAGTATGGAGGTTCCTCAAAAGACTCCACATAGAGTTCCCCTATGACCCAGCAATCCCACTTTTGGGCATTTACCTGAATGATCACAAACAAGACCATACTAAAGCTACCAGCACAACTATGTTTATTGCAGCATTATTTACCATAGCTAAGATATGAAAACAACCTAGATGCCCCTCAGTAGATGAATGGATCAAGAAAATGTGGTATATATACACAATGGAATTCTATGCCTCCATCAGAAAGAATGACATTGCCCCTTTTGTTAGAAATGGAAAGACTTGGAAAAAATTACATTAAGTGAAGTAAGCCAGGCCCAAAGAAACATAGGTCCCATGGTTTCCTTTATTTACAATAACTAGTATATGTCTGAGACAAGCAGAAAAGCTCAGATAAGATGATGTTAAGCAAAATGAATCCCAAAATAAGGACACAAGTGTTTTTTTTTTTTTTCTTTCTTGCATTGTTTCTAATGTACTTATAAGGTACCATGTGATTTTTTTGTTGCTTTGGATGTCCCTCCCCCATGGTATAACCCCTGTTTTCACTGTATTTGTTGTTGATATAATTTAGGGAGGGGAAGGGAAAAAACAAATAGTTTAAATAATGATACAGGTGGACCCACTGCAACAATGAGATGTACAAGATGCTATGTCAAAAAATGAACTTTGCAATTGGGGGGGGGCAGGGCAGGGTAGTTGTGGAGATGGGAGGGAAGGGATGGTAGGGGAAAAACAAAGGAGGAAGCAACAATGCTTGATAAGAAATGTACTCATTACCTTGCTCATGTAACTGTAACCCCTCTGTACAGTATTTTCACAATAAAAGACTTAGTTTAAAAAAAGAAGTTTACAGCCAAGCAGAAAACCAGCAAAATTATCATCTTCTGTGATGATCCTCCAAACATCTGTCTTTGATGTTGCCCATCATTAGCTATTTATTTAGTTAGCAAGGAAGCCGAAGCCCTTTTGTAATGTCTCATTCCTACAGACTTCCAACACAGCACATTCTATACAGCGTAAGTTCTAAGGTAGGTACATACCAGAAGAATCATAGGTCTTTTCCAAGTGGTTAACCCTATGATCCCGGACAGAATTACCTGTAAGAAAAAAGAAGAAGATTATCTAGGCAGCAGTGGCTCACACCTGTAATCCTAGCTACTCAGGAAGCTGAGATCTGAGGATAGCAATTCAAAGCCTGCTCAGGTAGGAAAGTCCATGAGAGTCTTACCTCCAATTAACCACCAGAAAACTCTTAGTGGTGCTATGGCTCAAAGTGGTAGAGCACTAGCCTTGAATAAAAGAGCTCAGGGACAGCACCCCTGAGTTCAAGCCTCACAACTGACCAAAAAAATGTATTCATCACTTGACTTATGAAATGGTAACCCCTGTGAATATCACAAAAGAAGGAAAGAAAGAAAGAAAAAAGAAAGAAGGAAGGAAGGAAGGAAGGAAGGAAGGAAGGAAGGAAGGAAGGGAGGGAGGGAGGGAGGAAGGAAGGAAGGAGAGAGAGAGGTGGGGGAGGAGGGCTAGGGAATGTGGCTTAGTTAGTGGTAGAGTGCATAAAGCCCTGGGTTCGATTGCTCAGGACACATAAACAGAAAAGGCCAGAAGTGGCACTGTGGCTCAAATGGTAGAGTGCCAGCCTTGAGCAAAAGAAGCTAAGGGGCAATGCCTAGGCCCTGAAGCCCCAGAACTGGAAGAAAGAACGAGGAGGAGGAGAAAGAGGAGGAGGAGGAGGAGGGAGGAAGAAAAGAGAAGAGATGAATCAAAGGAATTCCTCAGGCCCAGGCACAGCCATCCAAGGTGTGTCCTGGGGGCACATTTTACCCTGGTCACCAGTGTCTGCTGAATGCAGTTGGGCTAGGGTCTCTTTGATGGTACTTTTTCTTGCCAAGATCCCTCCCACATGCCAGCTTACCATCTCTGCTTATTAACTACAAACCACACGTGCCCACAAAGCAGAGGGCCCATCACTCACAGCACCACATCAGGGAGGGAACAGATCTGCCTCTCAGTAGCAAAGACCAAACCCACACGTGGACAGGCAGGCAGCTGACTTCTCGTTATGGGTCTGGGCCTAAATGTCTTCTTATCTGTCTCCCAGGCACTGTACCGCTGCAGTCCGCTTACCTCTAACAGGATGCCACCTCCGGTTCCCCCAGCAACCTCTGCCGCTAAACACCCAGAGGCTGTGTCCCTCTCCACGTGTGGGGGCTGTCTCTAGTTCTTCACACAGAGCCTTGAGACCCAGGCCAGACCATCCCTCCCCCAGGCCAGCTTCCCAGAGTGAGTGCTCGGACCTTGGTCTCATCATTCCCCATCTTTGGCCCTCAACTCTGGTTTCCTGAGAAATGTATCATAAGTGAAGGAAACCATCTCTGAGGTCTCTTTGAGTACAAACCTTGACCCCCCATTGTGTGGAGGGATTGCTCAGAACTCTAAGACCCAGCAAGCATATAGTAGGAGGCGTGTGTGTGTGTGTGTGTGTGTGTGTGTGTGTGTGTGCATAGATGAATGAGTGTGTGTGCATAGATGAATGAGTGTGTGTGTGTGCACACACAGGGGCTACTCACCCATCCACCCACCCTGCGGCCCACTCGACTTGGCCGAGACAATGCACGTGGCTTCTGTGAACACAGAGCTGAAAATTTCACTGCTCTGGAGGGAAACACACACTGCCTGCGATAACTGTTGATTTGAATTATTCATTGGTGTTTGTTACCAGCGTCTCTGAATATAGACCCCTGGGGTTCAGCTTTATGGAGAACTACTTTGGCCATTCAAACAGTGTTATTACCATGAAATGTCCAGCTCCCAATGTAAAATCCCATAAAATAGTCTAAGCTGTACTCTACACATCCCCCATCTACCCATCTTTTCCAGGTTCACAGTTTTGTACATCTACACATTCCGCTATGTACATAGATGCTGTCTAAATCCTCAAGTGTGTGTGTCACTAGAGCTAGACCTCGGGACTTCATGCTCTTGTTTGGCTTTTTTACTCAAGGCTGACACTCTACCCCTTGAGCCACACCTCCACCTCTACCTTCTTGCTGGTTAACTGGAGATAAGAGTCTCACAGACTTTCCTGCCTGGGCTGGCTTAGAGTCTCAATCCTCAGGTCTCAGCCTCTTGAGTAGCTAGGATTACAGGCATGTGCCACCAGCACCCAGTATTTGCTCTTCAAATTCTTATCTACAAATACCCCTACTGGGATGAGTATGTATTCATAGGCACAGGAGTGTGATTTCTACAAAAGAAAAAATGTATCATAAAATGTACACTGTTCTTGCTTCCTCTTTTTCTTGGCCAATAAATAGTTCAGGGAAATCTCTTTGAGGCCTTGTATTAGCTGTGATTCATGTCAGCTAAATGGTAGCAGAACACCTCATTATGTGGCTCTACACCACGCATTCAGTCATTTCTATATTCATGAAACTCACTCATTTCTAGTTTTCCCTTCACAAACAATGCTGAGTAAATATCCAAGGACAGATATCTTTCAAAACAAGTGCTCTGGGCTGAAGGCATGGCTCAACAGGACAGAGCACCTGCCTAACAAGGACAAGGCCCTGAATGCAAACCCAGTAACACAGGAAAAAAAAGAGCTTTTATTTCTATTGAACAGGTGGATAAAGTATGAAGAATGGAGTTAAGGTAAAAGGTGTTTATATTTTTATTGTAATAGATTATGACAGATGTTAGTGTTATTTCAAATAAAGGGCCTCTGAGACCAAAAACAAAATAAGCCATACTCTTTATTTCTTCCTTGAGGAGTGATATTTTGTCAACATGTACTAAGAACAAATCCCAGAAAATGTGTTTTTTTTTTTAATATGTATAAAATGAGGAGTAGCAGTGTGGCTCAAGTACTATGTGGCAGCCTTAAGCAAAGAAGCCAAGCAAAGCCGGGTGCTAGTGGCTCACACCTATAATCCCAGCTACTCTAGAGGTTGAGATCTGAGGATTGTGGTTCAAAGCCAGCCCACACAGGAAAGTTGTGCCACTCTGATCTCCAAGAAACTACTCAGAAAAAGCCAGAAGTGATGCTGTGGCTCAAGTGGTAGAGCACTAGCCTTGAGCACAAAGAGGCTCAACAACAGCTCCCACACCCTAAGTTCAAGCCATAGCACCAGCAAAAAAAAAAAAAAAGCCAACCAAGAGCAAGAGACCCAAAGTTCAAGTCCCAGTAGCAGCACAAATTTATATTTTATATAGCTCTATTATATTACATATAATAATTATATTACATATAATAATTACATGTAATAATTATGTATGATACAGGTTGTATAACATATAATACCATGTAATTATTTTATGCATAAAATGTATATGGCAGATACAAATATTAATAATCTCAAAGTATAGTGACAATGATGCTTGTGATATTGGTGGAGAGAAATATAAAGTGGACAAAGCACGATTCAATGAAAGAGTCGAGATATATGCCAAATTCAGGGACTGGATGACAAATCCCCATCATCACTGTAAGAACTGCTGTTTCCTTGCTGTGGGAAACTGGGGCTGTAGGAAATTGCATCCCTGAGCCCCGCAGCAAGCTCTACCACTTGAGCCACAGCGCCACTTCCGGCTTTTTTCTTGCTTATGTGGTGCTGAGGAATCGAACCCCGGGCCTCAGGCATGCAAGGCAAGCGCCCTACCACTGAGCCACCTTTCCAGCCCCCCCATCCTCCTTTTCTGAAGCTCCATTCACCAGGCACGGTATCCATGCATTCCTCTGACTTCCAATTGGATATTGCTCCCTGCCCTGTGATATGTGTGGTCTGTGCCTACGTTATTACACACAAGATGATTGGCCTTTCCCTCATGTAGGGCGGTTGCTATGCTTCCCTGATCCCAATGACTTCCTGTGCCTGGGGAGGAGAAAAGCGTAAATATAAGCAAGAGGGTGGAAATCTCTGGAATGAAAGCAGGAACGGAAGTGGTGCATTGGAGATCCTTTTCTTAGTAGAAGCGTTCTAAGGTTTACACTCAAAACCTTAGATCTGCTCACCTGGCATTCTACCACTTGAGCTAGTCTACCTCCAGCCATGTGTTTTTAGAGATGGAGGCTTGAGGACTTCTCTCCCTCGGCTGGCCTAGAATCATAATCCTCCCGATCTCTCAGCCTGTGTAGCTAGGATCACAGTCAGGAGCCACTAGCACTTGGCTGGAATGAGTCTTTAAAGAATTCAAGAACTAGGGAACGGATGCTCCCTCTGGTCTCCGGCAGGAATGGAACTCATGAATTCAATCCATCATGAATTCAAGGAAAGAAAGAAATAGAGTATCCTGTCGGGGCTGGAGCTTTATAAGAAAGGAGTCAAGTGGGCCCTCAGCCAGGGTCTTTCCTGGTTCCTATACACCATCTGACTGGCTCTCTCCAGAGGGTCTGGGCAAGTACAACTTGCTGGAGTACACTAAAAGCTCCTAGGAGGAACTCAGTGAGGGATCACAAAGGAGGGGAGGGAAGGAGGGAGGGAGGGAAGGAGAGAGGGAAGGAGGAAGGAAGGAAGGAAGGAAGGAAGGAAGGAAGGAAGGAAGGAAGGAAGGAAGGAAGGAAGGAAGGAAGGAAGGAAGGACAGAAATAGGAGATGAGCTTGCTTGAGTCACTGTGGGAGCCTGGACACGCTTTCTCCTCTTGTGCCTGAGAAAATACATCAACAATCCTCTTCCAGCCCCAGGAGCAGCCTGCCTGGAGTGAATGGACAAGAACTGATGTTCCAGCCTCCCGTCTCTACATGATTATCCTGCCATTGCAAGCAAATTTCCTTTCACTTAGTCATAACCTATTCCTTGTAGATTACAGTAAAGCAGAGACTTTTCCTTTCTTTTTTTTTTTTTCTTTCTGATAATGCAAAGAGGCCTCTGAGCCTTACCACCACTATGGTGAACGGTGCCTTCATTTGCCAGCTTAAAAGCCAAATCATTAAGATCAAAAGCTTATAATTCCACTGCCCTAGTTTCCTCAACTAATCCACAAACATGCCTTCGGGCAAAAATGTTCTGGATCTGCTGTCAAAAGCTGCTGTATCAAAACAGAGAGGTTTTTAAAGGAAAAAAAAAACACCTAAATTGTTACTATCTCATGTTT